TTGGAAGGGGCTTCCCCAGTTTCGGGTGGAAGGTCAGGACCGCGTCTTTTGTCTGCCCGGACTTCCTGGGTTTTTTTTCCCCAACCCCATGGGCTCCAGCTTCCCCACAAGGATGATGGTGCTGTCTCTTGGGGCGTTTGGAGGATGTGATGAAGGATTCCTGCTTCAGCTTGGGAAAGGCGGGCTTCCTCCCTCCAGGACCGATAAGGAGACCTGAGGAACGAAACCCCAAGAAGACCACTTCCCAGCCTTCCCTGTGCTCGCCGGACCCTACTTCCTTTCTCTGGATCCAGAATCACCAACGTCCATGTTGCCACGCATATACACACAGTACACACACACACATATACACACACACTCACGCTGGTTTGGGAACATGCCCATGGCTTCTCGGGGTGTCTGGGGGTCTCAGTACATCTCAGGGAGCCCCCTTCACCCACCCTGGGCAGGAAGGTTGTTGAGACCCTGCTCCTCCAACCTCTTAGCCCACTTTCAAATGACCTGGCCTAGCCGCCTTTCTCTCCGTCTTGTGGCCTCCTTGGTCCACTGGACGGGCTCCTGCAGCCCCCCGGGTCCCCAGCTCCAGCATTCTGGATGGGAGGCTGCCCTGCCAGCTTCTCCTTGGCCCACCTGTCAGAATCCTCCCGTAGGCCCACCTCTCCTCATACCCCTGGGCGGGGGCTGGAGCAGCTAGTTGGGATGGTTGGTCCCTATGGGCAGGTGCTGGGTCTGTGGGTGGCCCAGGTCATCAGGCACTGGAGAGCCTGGCTTGTCCAGGATGTGCCCAGCCCTCCGAAGCCTTGGCTCCCCTGCACTGACAGTGTGACCCAGCATGGGATAGGGGAGTCCACCACCGGGCCCTCCACCAAAGCCACCCTGGATTCTAATCAGGCCCTGAGAAATTGGCCAAGTTGGCCAGGCACGATGGCTCATTCCTGTAATCCCAGCACTCTGGGAGGCCGAGGCAGGAAGGTCGTTTGAGACCAGCCCAGGCAACAGAGCAAACCCTTGTCTCTACAAAAAAATTTAAGAGCCAGGTGGGGTGCACTCCTGTAGTCCTAGCTACTTGGGAGGCTGATGCAGGAGGATGGCTTGAACCCAGGAGTTAGAGGCTGCAGTGAGCATCCCGGCCTGGGTGATAGAGAACTCAACTCAGAAAAAAAATGTGGCTAAATCACTTCACCTCTCTGAGCCTCAGTTTCCCTAGCTGTAAAATGGGGGTGAACATACCTGCTTCTTGGGGTGCTTGGGAGTATAGTGAAGGATGTACGCAAAGCCCTGGGCAGCAGTGGTTGGCACAAAGGAGTGCCCCAACTCGGCAAGTGCTTCTAGTCCCTAACCCAGTCCACAGGGAAACAGGGCCTAGGGAGACAGGGCCTGCCTGGTCCCAACCGGTCAGAACCTGTGGTGGAGCCCCAGCTGCCCTGGCTGGCCACGGGCACCAGGCCAGGACTCTGAGCTTTTGGGGGCCTTCCAAAAAGCCTGACACTCAGAAAACATTGTCTCCAGAATACAAACAGAAGACAGCAAAATCCAAATGCATGAAGATGTAATGAAATGTCTGCATAACCTCACATAATGTTGATATTATTTTTAAATGTAAAATAAGAAAACAGATCTATTTGTGAACAATTGGTGCGGTAGACTTTATTCTCATTTTACAAGGCTTGCCCACTGTGCTGATGACCCCTGGACAACTCAAGCCATTGTAAATTAAGTGAATTTCTTGTAGCCCAAAATGTCCAAAAGCAACACTGTAAAATTTCCTTTCAAAAACCTGTATAGGGGGTCCAGGTGTGGTGGCTCATGTCTGTAATCCCAACACTTTGAGAGGTCAAAGCGAGAGGATTACCGAAGCCTAGGGGTTTGAGACCAGCCTCGGCAACTTGGCAAGACCCCTACAATAAATACAAAAACTCACCAGGCATGGTGGCGCATGCCTGTGGCTCCAGCTGCTTGGAAGGCGGGAGGATTGCCTGAGCCCAATCGGTCGAGGCTGCAGTAGTTGTGAGCGTGCCACTGCACTCTAGCCTGGGCGAGAGTGAGACTCCACCTCAAGACAAAACAAAAACAAACACCAAAACTTTATAGGAAAAAAAGTTATGAAGGAGGGTTGTGGAGACAGATTCAGGCTCTTGCTGTGGTGTCCAGCAGTGGCCTCCAAAATCGAGAGGGCCAGGACATCTGAATGGGCCCAGGATCAGGCCAAGCGGGGCAGGGGCCCAGCCTGGCCCTGCTGCTGTCCAGGATCCTTGTGGCTGTGGGGGCCTTTCTTCCCTGAAGAAGAGCAGGTCCACCTTCTATGATCTGCTATCTGGGAAGGCTTCCAGCAGGAGGTGGGTCTGGGAGCAGCTCCAGGGAACGGGCACGGGGGCGGTGTGGGGTGGGCACTTTGGGGCCTGCCTCCTTCCCAGCTCTCACTGCAGAGTCCAGAGAACAAGCAAAGCAGGAGCTGGGCCCAGGCAGGGGCACTGGGCACACGGATGCTGTGAAGCTGCCCTGCAGCGTGCTGCTGGCCTCCCCCCCCGGTGGTGCGGGTGTCTGGCTCCAACCAAGATCCCCCTTCCCTGGCTTTCCCGAGCCGTGCGAGGTCTGTCTGCCTTTGGTCATTGCAGTGCTAAGCTGAGGACTAGGGCCTGGCTGCACAGGGGTTTTGTCCAGACTCGGGGTGCCCAGCCACGGTTGGGTGACCCCCCCGCAGGAAAGCGCTCCAGGTGCCCCCCACAGCGGTAGTCCTGCTGCGGAGAGGAGGCTGTGGGGTGGGGCGCCCTCTGGTGGCCGTTGTGGGCTATAGCCAGAACCCTAGAGAGAGGCCGGCTGGGTCACTTGGGGGTGGGGGAATCCCTGCCTCAACCCGCCCCTCCCCTTGGTCCCCACCATCTTCATGTTCTGCAAGGACATCGGCCATCTTCTGAGCCTCCTCTGCATGCGCCCTGTGCTGCCCGGCGCCGTCTGCTTCTCTGCTCATGGCCTCCACACCCAAGCACAGCCAGCTATGCGGGGTGGGGAGTCACTGGAGCCACCTCTGTGGGGACAGAGCTGAGCCTGCAGACACGGCGGGGCCCCCCATTTCCCCCCACCCAGTGCCACCTCCCCAAGATCTCTGCCCCAGGGCTTCTTCCTGAGCCCCCTAAGATACAGCGAGCTCTGGGGGCTCCTCCCAGGCCTCCCTCCTTTGACTCGATGGCCACTCGTGGAAGCTACAGGCTGCCTCTAGGGTCCTGAGCACCTGCAGGCGGGCCCAGCCCAGTCTGGGTCCCTGCTTGTTACTGGAAGTCGGGGTGGGGTGTTGGAGAACACTGCCAGCCCCTCAGGCCTGTGCACGGCCGGACAGAGCACAGAGGCCTGGGCTAGGGCAGTGCAGCCTTACTCAGGGGCAGTGGAGTTCCTGCCACCCCAGGTGGCTTCCCTTAAGTGTTCCCCAGGCACCATCGGCTGGGCCAGTTTTCCAGGGCTTTTCATTCCACAGGACACTGCTTCTATCTCCTGGGGCATCCTCCTAGAAGTCTACAGCCCAGCTCTGCTGCTCAGAGGGAGCCCCCTATTCTAAACACTTACTTACCAGAGAGAAAGCACCCTCGTTCTCCGCCCCTTCCCCCCAAGGCCCACCTCCAAGGGACCGGCCCGAGTTCCAAGGACTCAGGCTCATCACCTGGGCTGCTGCTGGCCTCCCTGCCTTCCCTCCAGGGCACTCCAGCAAGCAGCTCTGAGGCCACTGGGCAGCACAGCCTAGGACCAGGTCACCAAGGGTGGCCCCAAAATGGGAAGGAGTTGGGGAGGGGGAGTTGGGGAGGAGGAGGGCCGGCATTGGGGCGGAGCTCCGGAAGGTGGGGGAAGGGGCTTGCAGAGAGGCAGCGTGGCCAGCCCTCTCCTGGGTCGTCACAAGAGTCCCGAAGCTTCCCAGAGAACACATGTGCCCACGAACAGAGAAAAAGGAGTCAGAGTTCACAGGAGAAACGAGGGCATCTGCAATCCTTAAATAGATTTATGGAAATGGTTTTGAATTACAGCATTTAGAAAATAAATATAATCTCAATACATAATATTTGCTCCATTATATACTTTCCCCCCAACAGAAGCCGTTTTGTGCATGTGTATTCCACTGGTAAATAGTCATTGCATTTTATCCTAGAAAAGAAGCAGTAGGTGTGTCATCTCTAAAAATAAAACTGCAATCGTCATTGCAATGTGAAGCCTGAGATTTAAGCCTGAGGAGGTGTCCATGCCGGGGCCACTTGGCTGTGCCAGCCTGGGCTCCGGACCGCTCTGGGGTCTGAGGAAGTGGGCCAGGGTCCCAGGGAGTGCAGGGGAGGGGGAGTGGTGGCCCCGGCCGTCCTGGGCTGCCAGGTAAGCCCTGCCCGAGGACCCGAGCACCCGAGCAGCCACCGCGGTGGGTCCCACGTCTAGTAGGTGTGCCATGACGGCAGATTCGGGGGCACCCTGCCTGCCGGAGGACCACTGGGTCGGCTTCCCGCAGTTTCCCTCCAAGAAGACACGAGATGTGTGTTGTTTAGCCAAGTCCTAGGAAGGACGGTAGGGCTGTGGGAGACACCAGACTTGCATTTCAGGTGTGGAAAGCACAGCGGGCCTACCGTGGCCAGACCCTGCCGAACTTCCAGACTCGCCACAGCACAAGAGGCCGCAGAGTGGCCGCTCTCCACTCATGCCCGTCACCCTCCCCCATTCCTACAGCCGAGCTCCAGGACGGGTGGGAGAGCCCCAGGCCCACCCCACCAGGCACCTGCTCTGGAGTGACAACTGGACACCCCAGGGCCCCCCGCTAGGCGAAGCCGACCTCCCACAGCCCCCTGCAGCTGGCCTGGGATCCCTGTGGTCGGCTCGGGATCCCTGCGGTGGGGAGGCCAGGGTGCGTGGGGCGAGGCTTGGGCGCCCTGGCGTGAGCCACAGCTGGGTGAGGTGCAGGGAGACTCGCCTGCAGCCGGGCCTGGGGCGGGCGCAGGAGGGCCGGCTCTCCTCGCTGGGGTCCCCGGCCCGCCCCGTCACAGGCCCGCCTTGTCGCTGTAGAAGGGCGTGACGTGGAACATGTAGCAGTGCGTGCACACGCGCACCGGCTTCACCTGCCCGTAGCGCGGCAGCGGCGCCGAGTGAGACGAGCAGCGGGAGCAGAAAATCTGGAACCCGGAGGGGGCGGGCGTGGGTCATAATGAGAGAAAAGGACATCACGTCCTAAGAGACAAACTTTTCAAACCAAAGGCTCTTC